TAAGTTACGAAATCGGGTACTAAAACGTACTTTCTCCGAATAAGCATACCTTTATTTCGACGAATTTGTGTTCCTTACCCTCAAAATATGGGTGATAGCCACAATCTGGGAAATATGATCCGCGATAGCTCTGGGAATAGAGTGTTTGCCTTCCAATGAGGCGAACCGGTTCGAATCCCAGTCGATACGAATCCCACGTCCGGCTTGCACCGATCACAGTGCTGACGTGTAATATCCTCAATAGTAGACGGATCATGGGTTAGAGTCTCCTTTCCGTCAGGCTAACCGTGGGAAATTCTCGTGATCTCCATGTAACGTAAATGCGGGTAAGCTCCATCAAAAAGTCCACCACGAAGGCAAATTTCTCCCATTACGCGATCCAGGAGTTCCCTTGTCTTCTGGATTGGATTCAAAATTACAAGGCTACAGAGTTGAACGTAAGTAGTCGTAAACCCATAAAATTGGGTCGGCTGTTCAACGACGGTTATAAAATTATAAAATCTGGGAAATATTTTCATAATAGTTTGGTCAGGAGAACGGTCCAAAATTTGGAGATCTCAATGTTAGTTTAACATTTTGCATATTTTGCCATGTCTCGGTACGTTATAATCGAAAAATTTCTGCACACAATAATAATAAAATTCGATTATTTAAAGATAATTTTTCATTCATAAAATAATTTTTATTTATTATTTTTAATTTTTTTACTTGATGGTAGTCAAAAACTCTTTTAATTGCAAACTATATAAATTTTTCCATCATTTTAAGGAATGTAATTTTACATGGCAAACTACAAAGTTTGAATGAAATCGGTCGAATAGTTTCTGAGGAATCGAATTTTAAAAGAAAGCGTTATATTTAAACATCGAGTCCTAGTACTACGTGAGGATCTGATGATTAGATCAAAAAATTTTCAATTAGTTTTTTTTTTCCTATTGTATAAGAAACCCGAAGAAAAAAGACTACAGAGTGTGATGATTTTTTTTACGAATGAAATACTAATGTACTATTATTTCCTTTTTATTAATGTAATTATTAATGTCATTATAAATGTTTTATTAATGTTATTATTTAATGCAATTTTACAAATATGCAAAAGAAACTATTATAATTTTTGAAATTCATATTGTACCTATCAAATATAATAAACTTTTACATTGTCCCCATAATCCGACCAAATCATACTTTTTATGATGATTATGAACATGCGCTGCCTAAGTTTGTTTCATTACTTTTTATAAAGATATCTAAAGAAATAATTTCATTTTTATTTTACTCTCGGAGTTTCAACAAAAATAAATTTTTTAATTTTATTAAAAAAATTTATTCAGGAAGCGTCAAACATCATTACGTCAAACATTCGTGCTACTAATATAAAATAATGATTTTTTTAATCCATGTAAAATATAGTTCTGAACATGTAATTAAGTATGGCATGCTTTTACTCACTGATTTATTGGATATTGTCGCACTCATTTTAAAATACTAACAGAGAAGTAGCGTGTTTAGTTTGTTCGTGAAATCATGAAATAACAATAAAATAATCATAATACTTAGCTACCGCACATAAAATACCCTATTAAAAGACAAATAATATGTATTTGTTTTATGCTGTAAGTTTTCCTGTTTACATTTTGTGAAACTGTTAAATGTATAATCCAAACACAAACAATTCGAATCCATCGAACCATTAAATTGGTTACGATTTAGAGAGATTTAAGCTCGTATCTACAATGGTGATAAAAAGTAAAGTGATCAATTTTGTCGATTGGAGTGATATCAGATGCGATCTTGATAATGAAAATATATTTTTTACATGATTAAATACAGTTAATAAAATGAAATTATTATATTAAATATTCTCTGTAAAGATGTATTGAGATAGTCCTTTTTGTTAAATCATTTTTTATTGTTAATAAAGTGTACATGGAACCCTTTAAAGATATGCGAAGAAATTTTGATTATTAGACTGTTAAGGTTTCGGTTATTAGACAGTTAAGGTTTAACAGTTAAGGTTTTAGGATCGCCACCCTCTCTGTTAGTCAGAGAATTTTCAACGCTTCCTACGAAAAACGGTAATAAAAAATAACAAATTTTATGCCCCATTTTTAAAATTTTTGAACTTTTAGTTATGATACACTTCTATCTTCCTCATCATAGTTAGCCAGACAGTCCAATGTGAGCCAATGGCTTCCTCTGAAGATTTCTCCATGTTGACTTCTGATTTATCTTAAATCTCCAATTCTTTTCGTTAATTGCAAGAAAATCAGACTCCCCTGAGTAAGCCCATCTCTAACCGCGGCCGTCCCCGCTTTCTTGTTCCAGTGGGTCTAAAAAGCAGTATTTTTTTTTATTGTATTGTCATCACTCATTCGAATCACTTGGGCCATCCAATTCATTCTATTTACTTTTATGTATTTAATAATATCAGGTTGCTTATAAATCTAGTACAGTTCAAAGTTAAATCTCCTTCTCCAGTTATTGTTTTCATTTACACCACCAAGTATACTCATCAAAATCTTTCTCTCAAATATTGCGATACAATTTTCCTCCAGTTTTGTCATTGTCCAAGCTTCAGACATATTTCTATAATTACTTTAATTTATTGGAATTATACCTAATAACCATTATATTCAAGATAGAAACGTTTTTTTTTAATACTTATTCTGATGAAAATAAAGTTTACATAAAATTAAGTGTTTCAATTAAAAATAAATTCAAGACTTCACTTTGCAGTTTAAATTAAATATTATATTTCTTAACCCTACATGAAAAGTAAAATAAGTTATGTAGTTTATGAATATAATTAGCAATACAGGATCTGTGCTGTTTCAGTACGGCTAGTATTGCATGAAACATATTTCAAAATCACATCAAAGAGAGTTATATTTTATAAGTTAACAATCGGAAATCCAAATTTAATTACATTTTTATTATTTCCACGGATAAAATACATAAATTATACAAATAAATTAACATAATGTATCCAAAACTTCATATATTCATATCATTGGACTGATTAAATTGAAAGTCAATTACATATTGATAATATCCTTTTTAATTATTTGACAATGGAGAAAAATACATTTATTATGCAAATAAATTGACCTAATTTATTTTTATTTGATTAAACTTGTTCTATGCCAATTAATTAAATTTCGATTATTTCGATATCCTTTGGAGTTACTTAACGGAGCAAATACATAAATTATATTAATAATTTAACCTAACATATTTAAATCTTCATCAAACGTGTTAAATGCGAGCTTAATTACATTTCAATTATTTCTATAATATTCTTTTGAGTTATTCAACAACGGAGAAAACACATAAAATATACAAATGAACTGACCTAATATATTCAAAACTCATTCAAACGTGTTAAAAACAGAAGGAAAGTAAACACAAATTTAAATACTTTTAAACTCTCACATAATAAATTTCCGAATTTTCTTGAAACATGCAACAGAAAAAGCATGTTTAATGTGGTTAAAGAAAAGATGAGTCAATTAATCAAAATTTAGAAAAGCGACAAGGCACAAAAATACGAAGATCTAGGCACCATTCAACTCTAAATACATCGTGATCTGTTGCAGAATTATCGCCAAGTCTTAGCAACTTCTGGGCAGCGGAATTCAGAAATTCAGAACACATATTTTTCCAAACATTAACGTGGAGAAAGTAGAATTCTTTTTCTGTTTGAAAGTGATCCTTAAAACTCTGTGGCTCTTTAATTTATTTGTAAGAAAATATCTAGGTGTTTTTCAATAACCTCTTAGTCTAAGGTTTTTGCTCAATATGCGACGCATTGTTCTTTTTGACACGTTCATCTATTTAACCTCTTCATCTATTTATCTTTGATTCTTCAATAGCCTCTTAGTCTAATATTTTCATTCATTATGCGACACATTTTTTTGACACTTTCATTTATTTAACCTCTTCATCTATTTAATCTTTTATTCTTCAATAACCTCTTAACCGAATATTTTCATTTAGTATGCAAGACATTGTTCTTTTTGACGCGTTCATTTATTTAACTACTTCATCTATTTAATCTTTTATTCTTCCATAACCTTTTAGTCTAAGATTTTCATTTATTAGGTGCCATGTTGTTTTTTTTTTTTTTTTACACGTTCATTTATTTAACCTCTTCATCTATGTTATCTTTTATTCTTCATTAACCTCTTAGTCGAATATTTTCATTTATTATGCTAGACATTGTTCTTTTTGACACGTTCATTTATTCAACCTCTTCATCTATTTAATCTTTTATTCTTCAATAACCTCTTAACCGAATATTTTCATTTAGTATGCAAGACATTGTTCTTTTTGACGCTTTCATTTATTTAACTACTTCATCTATTTAATCTTGTATTCTTCCATAACCTCTAAGTCTAAGATTTTCATTTATTAGGTGCCATATTGTTTTTTTTTACACGTTCATTTATTTTACCTTTTCATCTATTTTATCTTTTATTCTTCATTAACCTCTTAGTCGAATATTTTCGTTTATTATGCTAGATATTGTTCTTTTTGACACGTTCATTTATTCAACCTCTTCCTCTATTTAATCTTTTATTCTTCAATAACCTCTTAGTCTAAGGTTATCGTTTACTATGTGGCACATTATTTTTTTTATGGTTTTGACAAGAAGAGTTTTCTTTCGACAAATGCTCTTCCAATTCTTTCCTGTTTTTTTAAGGACAGGTGTGCTTAACCAGCGTGGTTCACCCTTTTTAGTCACGTCTGCTACCCAATTTATCTCAGAAAATCTCTTTATATTTCAATGAATGAATGAGTTTTTGATGTCTAAGCGTCGGCTCAACAGAAGTCATTTTTTTTAATCTTATAATGTTATTAAACATCATTCTTTCTGAAGCTTCTAATTATTTCAATATAGTTAAAAAAAACTTTTTTTCTTTAAAAGTATATTTTTAATGAAAAAAGCATATTTTCAGAACTTAATTTGTTTTATTGATATTCTTTCACCTTTATTTCAGTGGTCTCGTTACCAGCGGATGTATTCTTTTATCATTAACCATAAGAGGTAAATATCAAAATTTTTATCCATTATAGCTCATTTTATTGTTTTTATTTGATGCAATTAATGTCACAGCAAGAGAGAGCGAATGCGATGGTCCGTAACAAGAACCCCTTTTTAATAGCGGAAAAATTGCTACTTTCAATAACTTCTACAATGTGTTTTTTTCTCTCAATTAGTTTTAATAATCTTTAATAAATAGCATAAAAATATCACTAAGTTGATTATGCTCAATCGTTTTCTTTAGTTTACTTTTTCCATACGTTCATAATCCCTCTTATTTTGAGAATCTAGAATCCAAATCCGTCAGCAGCAAAAAAAGTATGCTGTATGTTATTCAGAGAAAACACGTTTTTTCTGGGGGGGGGGTCTAATTTTGTAACTTAAGATATCGTCTGTACTAATTAATTATCATAGTTAAGGTAAGGCCTTCAAACCATTAAGGCAGTGTTTCCCAAAGTGTGGTACGCTTACCCGCAGGGGTACAGGAACAGTTTAGAGGGGGTTCTCGTTCTTGCAACAAACTAAATTTTTTTTTAATTTATTTGAAAACAAAGCTAGCCATGAAAATTTACGATTACGCATATTTCTATTGGCTATTTTTTGCAGAGTTAACAGTTAATAATTAGTAGTTTCAACAGCCAGTTATGATTTTTAACTTTTGTGCAATTTTTTTACAGTAAAAAATATATTCATTTTTTTTTATTAGTGATACACAGCGTTACCAAAAATTTAGAAAGGGTACCCAAAAGTCATAAGTTTGGGAAACACTGCATTAAGGTAATCCGATCATTCGATGAAAAATTAATCAAGATGATCGCTTTTTTATTTATCACACTTTATAGCCAGTTTTCGGCGTTTAATTTCAAATTAATGAACAAGAAACAAGAAGTTTGGAAGAGTATTATTAAAAGTTTTTTATTGAATAGTATATAAAAATGTAGATAAATTGTAACACAAATATGATTCGAAACATGAAAAGCACATTTGGCGAATAAATCCACCTATCACAAAAAAACAGTATGTCACAGTTTTATGACGAAAAGAGTTGTTCTTGTAGATGGATTCCGATAAAAAAGAAATGAGTTTTTGTAAAAATTACGTATGCCATTGCATTGTGGAAATTGCCTTTCAATGTTGCCGATGAAGTTACAGGAATCAAAAATATGGAGCAAAGATCAAATTGAAATAATTTTTGTTCCAGCACCAAATTTGAAGACCGAGGAGGAAGACTCAAGGCGGAAACTTATCTATCAAGTTAAAACATTACTTCTTAGGTTTGAAGATCTGGTTGGCTAATTCATGAGAAACAACTTAATCGCTAAAAAAGTAATAACTGGAACCCAAGATTACGTATTTAGACTCTTACCAGTTACAGTGTCTCATTCGGAGACATGAGGGGTCCGTTCAGCATAACATCCCAGACTATCAATTTTAAGCTGCCATAATGGTCTATTTTTTGGACAGCGGAGAATAAATAAACAATCCACGTTTCTCTTCATATAAAAGTATCAACTAGAAGCACGTTATCTGTCCTCTAATCTGACCGAGATATTGGTCTAGAAATTGACCATTAGGAAGCAAAAGTTTGATGTTATCGAGAAATTCAGCAATTTGGATAACCGTAAGACCCCTAGGTCATCAAGGAAGTGTAACTGATATGTGCTTTTGGATCTCTAAGATCAATTTCTTAGGTTGTTTAGCTGATTCCGGCTTCATTTTAATGGACGACACCACATGGCTACGTAGGCCTCATCATTTCAAAGAATTTCTGGTATCTGAAAATAACAGCTTAGAACAATTTCTGGAATATGAAGATAATCAATGGATTGATTGATAAGCCAGATGCCTGACATGAATCTCATAATGGATGATTGAAACTACTCTAGCAGACAAGTTGCTGTTTTGAGTCCTCTTTCATGCTCGTTAAATGAGCTGGTACACTGGTCTCAGCTCTCCATTTCAATGTCTGAAAACTAAGGAACATTAACAGTTACTCTATCACACGACCTATGCCTATACTCCGAAGAGGCATGCATAGCTTTATGCTGTCGCTGCCAGGAGAGCAGACAGGATTCCGACAAAGCTTGTTCTCGCCAATCTCCACGATTTTAATTGGCAGCGTAACTCATTCAACATTAGTAAAATACGTTTAAGTTCAAATTTCTACGAGACGCAGAATTAAATTTAGACTCAAAAAACATTTGGCACCTTTGCATGGGATTGGAGGTCGATGTAATAGTTAGGCGCAAGCTTCTCATTAAAGATAAGTAGTTTAATGTATGTTGCGTATTGACATGTTTTTAAAAGGCAACAATTGATGTAACTCCTTATCGCATGACTCAAGTTTTGAAAAATTATAGAATTACTTTAAATTCTGGATCCATGCAAGGCTCACATACACATATACATACATACGTACGTAATTACATACATACGTGCGTACATACATACATACATGCATACATACATGCATACATACATACATACATGCATACATGCCTACATGCATACATGCATACGTGCGTACATACATACATACATGCGTGCGTGCGTGCATGCATACATACATACATACATACATACATACATACATACATACATACATACATACGTATCGTGCGTGTGTACATACATACATACGTACGTGCCTACTTACGCACGCACGCACAGGGTGTCTGTTTCAATTTGTTTTATTGTATTTTTTATTTATTCAAATGAAATAACGGAAGTTTTTTTTTAAAATTTTGTTTCTAGAGACATCATTTTTACTGTTTCCTTCGTTGATTTTGATGTGCCTTGCTGGTGTACCTCTACGTTTAGCTAATATGCAGGTAAAGTCATTAATTAATTACTATCTTAAAACTTAAACTGTACAAAATTCCGGATCTAAAAAGGTACCAGTAATCAGGGTGCCAATACTTTTTACCGTAAAATCCACTTTTACCGGAACATGTTACGAAACAAAAAATCTGATATACCGTAATTGTTACAGTAATGATTACCGCAAATTCTCTGAAACACTGATTAAATAAATATGAATGTAAAAAAACGGTATCATATTTTGCGGTTAAAATGACTTTTAAGGAGACTGCACCCAAAGTATCGGTACTTTAAACGATAATTTGATTCGGAATTTTTTATTGAGAATTGTTCCTCTTCCAAAAAATGTATTTTTGGAATCGTATTTTTGTTTTTTTTGTTTATATGTGATTGATCCTAAATCGTAATTCATGACATGAATTATGCCATTATGAATTATCCCTTTTGTGCAATCTTACTATTCATTACGAATATGAGGGTATTTGTTTTAAATGAATGCTTTATTTAACAAAATATTAAATTCAATTGTAATACGCTTCAAATAATTTTACCAAAATCTAATAATAATTTTTTTAAAGTTAGTGGCTTTTAAAATTGTTAGATTTCTTAGATTTCTATTTTTAGATTGGATAGGATAAATATAATTATGGATAAATTTAATTAATTAATTTAATTCAATTTATAGATTATTACAATTATTAAAATCAATAAATGCTTTTCGATAAAAATCCCAATTTGTTGCGCAAATTAGGGTCTAGAACATTTTTAAAGAATTGTTACATTGCATGTAACTTACATATAATGATTTTAATTACATTTTATGTTACAAAAAATTTCATTTAATTGCTATGAAATTTCTAAAACGTTTTTTTATTTTTTTTATTTTCAATTTTAAACTTTTGTTGTTCATAAGATAAGCATTAGACATACAAATTATTCCGCAGCAATGAATTGTAGGTTATGGATACTTTGTTGTGATCATTTCAGCATATATAAGTTTCTAATAAATGTTTGTAAATAATCTTGTTCAATCCTATGCGATACATGAAACAATCATTTACTATCTTAACATTTAAGCACTTGTTGCTGATTTAGGTAAGGCATAATTGATCAACATATTCATTTACAGTAAAAAACTGTAAGTTTTGAAACATTATATCAATATCAATATGTATTATCCATTTTAATTTTGTCCCGCAGTGGACTGATCGTTAAGACACGCTTCCCAGTAGAACATCGAAGTCAAGCATCACTGGCTGCGGTCAGTGAGCTGGTGGGTGACCACTATGAGAAAAATTAGTTTAAATTGTTTAAAACTGAGCAAGATATGAGTAATTCTTTTATACTACTCATGCGCGGAAAAAATAAAAATAAAAATTTTCTTAATTTTGTAGGGAATCGTATTTGGCAACTAATAAAAAAGTCCGCTTTGAATATCTTAAAAAGTTTTAAGCAATTTTCAATGTAGTTTTCGTACTTTTTAGAAGAAAGCCCTAAATGATAAGGATTTTTCTACAAATATTATATTGTATCATAATACAGAATTTAATAACAAGTTATACCTTACAATGGAAGTTCATACACCAAAAACACAGGCGAGAAAATAAAATACTTTTATGGGGGATGATTTCCAACAATTCGGATGTCCTATTTATTAAATGTTGTTTAATACTAAAAAATGAAATACATGGAAAACCCCTTATGATTTTGAGCATTCTTTTAAAAAATACGAAAAATACTTAGGAAATTGCATGAAACTTTTTAAATTTTTATGATATTCAAATCGGACTTTTTCTATTAGTTGCCAAATACGACTCACTACAAAATTATGGAGAAATTTTTTTTTAATTTTTCCCACTCATGCGCAGTATAAAAGAAATACTTTAATTACTCATATCTTGCTCTGTTTTAAATGAATTTTTCTCAAATTTTAAAATAAAAATTTGATAATTAATTTTAAATTGCTCCAAAAATTTTCTTCAATTTTATTGAATATTTTTAAAGTTATAGCATAAAAAACGTAAGACGAAAAAAATTTAGCTTTTTCATAAAAATGTCCATATAATAACCAAAAACATATGACAAGTCTATTGATATATTTTTCAGCAAATTGTGTTCAAAAGTATTATTTTCCGTTCATAATTTATTGTCGGTTCCACAAATCTCTAAAAGCTTTAAACTTCATTGACATGTATGAGAAATCGCATGATCTAAAAACTTCTGAAGTTATAGAAAGAGTTTCTTTGTATTTCTGTGGAAATACAAAAAAATGTATTGGTATAGATGTGTTATTTTGCCCACCCCTTGAATATTCTTTCATGAGCGAACAATGGTGAACGCTTCGTTCTACAGCTGTGCTTCTAATTGTATTTTTGTAAATAATCATTTTCACTTTTATTACTTACTTATTTAAGAATTAAATTTAATATTTAAAAATAATCTTCATTAACTGTTATACAATATGCATTCTATTATAAACTATTTTTCAAGGCCAATCCTTAAATGAAATATTTTTTAAAAATCAAATCACGAATTTGTGAAATAATATGTCAAAAATAAATAACTTCTGATCACTCTTTATCAATAAAAGGAAGTAAACTATTTTAAAGACCATTAAAATCCTGTTTCAGCCCAAAAATATCTACACAAAAAAATATAATTAATTACGACCTTGCCTTTAATGTAGACACTTATAGTTTTTTTTTTTTTTTTAATATTGTAACCGGCGTACTCAAACTTCTACTTATAATATTATAATATTTATAAGAATCGAATTAGATACATTAATTGTCAAGGCCATCTACTTTAGCGTTCAATGGTGAGATTTTTATTTTTTCAAGGTCGGTAGTCTGAGACTATCAAAATGAAGCATCAATTTTCTCACACAAATTTATTTCATTGATCAAAATGCAACGAATCGATATGATTTTTTTCCATCGATTTTGCACGCGTTTATGCAAATTTCATAATTATTGTGTTATTATTATGCAATGCTTTGCTTCATTTTGATATTTGTTATGCTAATAATACTCATACTTTAATATATTTGTTAGAAAAACAAATTATCGAGGTCAGTACTTAAAACGATTTGTGGTGAATAAATATTTTATGAATCATAAATCCAATTAATCATTGGCTAGCAAATGAAAAACATCGCGTCGATGATTTTAGTTTTGAGTTATTTAAAGACGTGTAAATTAAAAAACCATTTTATGTTATGGAATTAAAGGTGATGGTTTTTTTAATACAAAAAAAAACTGTAGCTTAATAAGTTTCTTAAGTCTAAAGATTATAATATTTTAAACAAGATAAACCATATAGCTGAAAATGGAAAAAAAATCTTGATCTTGAAATTGTGTTAGAGTTGCAGGCCGAAAAATTCCTGATAGATTTGCCAGCGTTGCCTTGCTTTAGGTCAATGTTAACTTCTGTATTGATGCCCGGTGGCTGAGTGGTAGCTCTTCGCTCTCCCGTGCCACAGGTCCTGGGTTCGATCCTCGGGTCGGGCAAGGTTGACTCAGCCTTTCATCCCTTCAGTGGGTCGATAAATGAGTACCAAGCATGCTTGGGAATTAAACACTGGGGGTTCCGCGTTTGGCTGACCACCTAACCGGAACGTCTACTTCGCACTCCAAAGCCCAAGGTCAAGAAAATTGAGATGGGCACAGTAGGCCTTGACCCTCTATGGGCTGTCACGCCACTGAGTTTAGTTTTAACTTCTGTATTTGACTCGACAAATAACTAAAATTTCATTAGACTTTACAATCTTTTTTAGGGGCGTCGTTTAACGTTAAGAAAAATAAAAGCACTTAGAAATAGAAAAGAAATGTTTTTTTCTTTCTTTTTTGAATTATTGTGAAATCATTTTGTAAAATAAACAAAATTTTCAAAAAATGACAAAAAAATTACAAATTTTTTTACTTAAAGACCATATTTCTCAACGAGCTGTGGTGGCTCAGGGGATAGAGGGCTCGTCTCCCTATGTGGTGGCCCGGGTTCGAATGCCAGTGATATCTGATCGATGCTCATTTCACACCTGGCTAGCATTGACTACAGTGCTGAGGTAAAATATCCTCAGTGGTAGACGGATCATGGGTTAGAGTCCCATTGCCATTAAGCTAACTATTGGAGATTTTCGAGTTTTTTCTCTCCATGTAGTGCAAATAATGGTTAGTTCGATCAAAATCACTACTTGACGAAAGAGCTGTCTTGTCTTTTGGATTGGATTCAAAATTACAAGGCTACGGAGCTGAACATTTGCAGCCGTGAACTTAAAATTGGGTCAGCTCTTCAACGATGGTTATAAAATAAAATATTTCTAAACAAATAGGCCAAAATCATGAACTTCACCCTTTCACAGAGTGGAAGGCCAGGAAAGGATAATTCTTTTAAAATTTGCTGACCATTTTTGGAGTCCCTGTCCAAACATGGTTGTTGTTCGTTAAATAATATCGTATTATTAAAATTCTTTATTATTTTTAATATAAATTACTTTTAATATAAATATTGAGAATCCTTATCAAAAGTAAAGTAAACTAGTACACTCCTTAGATGTCGCGGTTTAACATCTAAACCAGGAAACGCAATAAAATCAAAATCTGTCCTACCACTTCTGAGAAATACAGGATTTAAAACATTGAACTTGATCAACAGAAGAAACTGGACTTAAAAAAGTGGAAGTTATATGAAATAAACATTTAAGTGAGATCTTTACAGAAAACCTTATATATTAGTTTATATAAGTACTACATCATGCTCTCTAATTAAAACAAAACAAAAAATTTTAATGAAATTTTGAATATTGTGAAAATATAAAGATATAAATATAAAGATATAAATATAAATAAAAGATAGGAAATACCACGCATTTCATGTTGATCTTTCAGTAATAAATTAAAGCAATAGCCAATACAAGGATTCCTTAACTTTCCTTGACTGGCGAAAAGTATTTTAATGTATATCTATCACTTGCATTGTTGATTATTTCATGGACTATTTTCAAAATTTATTG